CTGTGAATCTAAAGTCCTCTAAAAATAGTTCACTAATATTTTTTTGAAAGCAAAGGAGTGACCTATTCTCTTCTCTTATAACGATTTGATCCATTCCCAGAGCTTCCTGTCCTCCACCCATACCTCTCTCCTGAATTCCACCCACATATCAAAGTCATCTTGAACTCAGCATGACTGAACTTTTTTTTTTTTTTTAAATTTTAGATAGAGCATGCTCAGGAGGGGAAAGGGGTGGAGGCAGAGGGAGGGGGAAGGGGAAGGGGAGAGAGGGGGAGGGAGAAAGAGAGAGACAGGGAGGGAGGGAGGCAGAGAATCTTAAGCAGGCTTCACCCTTAGCACAGAGCCCAACATGGGGCTCAATCCCATGGGATTATGACCTGAGCCAAAATCAAGAGGCAGACACTCAACCCACTGAGCCACCCAGGTGTCCCTGTACTGAATTCCTGATCCTCCTTTTCTCAAATTTTCTCCTCCTGCAACCTTCCATATCTCACTAAATGGCTACTCCATCCTTCCAGTTGCTCGAATCAAAATCCTGGACTCATCTTTTGTCAAATTCCCCTCTCAATTTCACTTACAATTAGATGAGCATTCTCGGGATTATTGTGCACACTGATATTTGAGAATCACTGTGTTAAGCCACCTGTTTTAGATAATAGGAGGGATCTACAAATACAGAACCAGAGTTTCAACAGTGTAGGAAATGTCAATACAAGCACATTTTAAAAAAAAAAAAATTTTAATGTTTTATTTATTTTTGAGAGAAAGAGACAAAGTGTGAATGGGCTAGGGACAGAGAGAGAGGGAGACACTGAATCCAAAACAAGACCCAGGCTCTGAACTGTCAGCACAGAGCCAGACATGGGGCTTGAACCCATGAACAGAGAAATCACGACTTAAACTTAGGTTGGACGCCTAACCAACTGAGCCACCTAGATGCCCCAATACAATCGCATTTTGGAATTAACTGCTACTTAAATTATATTCGTCATAAGAAATGGCAATTACAAATAACAATAGTACTTGGGGTGCCTGGGTGGCTCAGTCAGTTAAGCTTGGACTTTACCTCAGGTGATGATCTCACGGTCAGTGAGTTCAAGCCCCGCGTCATCGGGCTCTGTGCTGACGGTTCAGAGCCTAGAGCCTGCCTCGGATTCTGTGTCTCCCTCTCTCTGGCTCTCCCCCACTCACACTCCATTTCTTTCTCTCAAAAATAAACATCAAAAAAAATTTTAAACAAATAACAACAGTACCATTTTTAGGGCAGTTAGTATGTTCTAAATATATTCCTGATCTCACTTACCATGTAAATATTATAACCATTATTTTTATAAGGGAAGAAACTGACAAAGAATTTTAACAAAAGCCTCCAAATACTATGCTCTTGATGATCATACTATATCCTGCATAGAGTGTGATAGAGAGTCTTGGACAGAACCCTAAGAAGTGGCTAGGGTTGTCTCGACAAAAAAGGAGAGGAAAAGACAGAAATATGGAGAGGAAGTCTAGGTGAAAAAAGTTTAGGAACGAAGCCTTGGGGTTTCTGGGTAGCTCAGTCAGTTAAGTGACTGACTCTTAATTTGGGCTTAGGTCATGATCTCACAGTTTGTGGGATGGAGTCCCAAGCAGGGCATAAAGCCCACTTAGGATTCTCTCTCTCCCTCTCTCTCTCTGTCCCTCCTCCTGCTCATGAACTCTCTCTCTCTCCCCCCCCTCTCTCCCCCCCTCACAAAAATAAATAAATAAGCCTTAAAAAAAAAAAAAAAAAGCCTTAACCACATTGGTTTGGAGTATCTTTTTCAGTAAGTGAGTCTAAAGACCACAAAGGATGTAGAACTTTATTTACTTATTTATTTTTGAGAAAGAGAAAGTGCTCATACACGTGGGTTCACACACAGGAGAACAAGCAGGAGATGGGCAGAGGGGAAGGAGAGAGAATCAAGAGCAAGCTCCAGACCTACTCAACCAACTGAGCTGCCCAGCAGTCCCCGCCCCCCACCTTTTTTGGTAGAGCTTCTTTTATTTTAATGTTTATTTAACATAAATGAGAGAGAGAGAGGGAGGGGCAGAGACAGAAGGAAAGAGAGAATCCTGAGCAGGCTCCATGCCATCAGCACAGAATCCGACATGGGGCTCCAACTTAAGAATCATGAGATCATGACCTGAGAATCACAAGATCATGACCTGAGCCAAAATCAAGAGTCGGTCACTTAACCGACTGAGCCACCCAGGTGCTCCACAGAACTTCTTTTTTAAAAAAGTTTTATGGACTCTACTCATCCTATCTGAGACCCAAGGTTTTCTCATAAACACCAGGCACTAACTTGAAGTGTTTTGGGGTGAACAATGGTTAACGTTATTACTAGTTTTCAAAGTGACACAAAGAAAAAGTGCTTTTACATTTAGGTCGAGACGGGATAAAATCAAAGGAGAAAACTGGAAGTCAGTTCTCTGCTTTTCTGGGACGAGATTTAGACTAACCAAATAGCCCATCCTGACTCATTTTTAGACTGAAGTGTCAATTCTATTCACTTCTAAATTGAGTGACCATTTGTTCACGATATTGTCTCCAGTCAGTAAATCCACTGAGGAGATGAAAGCTAGGTGGGAGGTGATGAGCTTGAGTGGTAAGGAGCAAAGGGAAGGTAATTTCTTTCATGAGCCAAAGATAACTGTAAAGGCAGTGATACTGGTAGAATTAAGACAGATGTCAAAAATGGGCTGCAGAAAGAGTGAGGCCCATTAGCCAAATGCTCAAACCACCTTAAGATTTAGAAGTACTCCTAAACACAACTGATTAGACTCTCTATTGGTCTAATAGGTTAGTTTCTTTAGTTACATTATTAGCCTTCAGAGGATACCATCTGGCCAGCTTGATTCACTTGCAAATTCCTAAATTCCAGCAGTACCCAGTTAGCGTCTTTCTACAAAAGATTAATCTTCTGTTTTATGTGGAACTTTTCACTAGTTTCAGTAACAGAAGGTGACCTGTTTTAAATTTTGGCCTTTTCCTGATGCCTATTTTGCTTATATTTGCAAAGCTCTTCCACCTCTTTTAGAAGAATAAACCAAACTAATAATAATGGGAATTATTGCTATACTTTTTCTTATCCACATTCCAAATACTGTTGTTCAAATATTACATATAATTTCAGCATTCTGCATTTCTTTTCCTATCCCATTAACTTTACACACTATGAATTATCTTCCTAACAGCATTTATTAACATCTACATGTTAAGTGCATTTATTAGGCACTTAATACATACCCAGCAGCCCTAGGTGTTGGGGTAGCACAGAAGACTGAGGTTCTAGTTACAAAAGAGAAATAAGACCAGTGGTATTAGTTTAACAGAAAAGAAGGCGATTAATTCATTCTGGGGGAATTGGCAAATTTTTCCAAGAAAAATTTGGGCTGAGTCTGAGAGGATGAATAAGGGTTCATTAGGCACTGGAAAAGGGAAAAGGTAACCCTAACACCTCCCTCCCCCAAATTGGTAATCTTCATGGAATTCAACTTAAAGTAACAGGAAAAGAAAGAGTAAAATGACAATAACACAAGAAGAAATCCTGTTCACTTCAGGGGGCGTGCCTTTAAACACACTTCAGATCTGAAAGTTAAATGTTTATTAAACAGGATTCGCAATCGAGGGAAAGGGGTGGAGGAGGAATAAATTGTTTGTTTTGTTGTATTAAGTTAAACATGACTAAAAAACCAACATTTATGCTTGAAAACACATATACTACTTTTCATAAAGATCTAAATTTTGCAAATGAAAGCCCTGGACGCTTATCCAATATTACAGTATTTGCCCTAGTGTTTATATTCCCAGTATCATTTTTAAGAGTTCTAAAGTGAGTCTAACCAAGAACCTGGCAGCACCTACACACACACACACACACACACACACACACTCCCAATAATTCCCTCTTGATTGAAACAATCAACAGCACCCTTATCTTTTCACTTCCCCTGACCTGCACACCTTCACATCCTTCAAAGTCTGGCTTTACTTATACTATGATTATCAGAAGGCATTAATTTAGCTCTAAGTTTTGACACTCCACCCCTTCACCCTTTCGTTCAATTATTTCCTCTTCAATTTCATTAGTTTCGCTTTTCTACGGAAGGGACACTTAGAAAATACATCAACAGCACAGTTACAAAACCAATGGCTGCAGCCAGAGTCCGGACACACACTGATTTCCAATCATATCCCCCTTGAGGCTGTTCCTACCACTGATCAAAATCAGCGGACCAGGAAGAAGGAAAAAGCTGTGGCAGGAAGGTTGTTCCCTTCCTTCTACTCCCTCCACGCCTGCCCCCGCCCCCGTCCCCCAGGGCCCACACCGCGACCTCGTACGCGCCCCCCTCCACCGACCCGCCCCCGCTGTCACCGCCACTGCCTAGAAAACAGTCACAGCTTTTGTTAAAAAGTCCATGAGCACAATGTACCAGAAGACGGACACATTCCCGGAGGCGGGGTGAAGGAAAGTCACACGAACGCCACGCCCTCCTTGGCACTAGCCTGGGGTGAAAGCCTACCTTCCCCAAACCCTCTCCCCCAAAATCAAGAACGTTCCTGGCAACTGTGCACTCTGTGAGGCAGCGCGGGGGAAGGGATGGGCCCGGGACGCGGCTCGGGGCACCCAGCGGGGGATACTGAACTTGGAGCTGGGACAGCCTCCAGCGCCCTTGGCGAGCCTCCCGGTCCTGCCAAGCCTGAGTAAGGACTTCAGTCTCTAGAGCCCTTCCTTCCTATCTTTCTCCTCACACAAACCTTCACCCACTCCCGTCACCACGTACTCCGCTCCGCACGCGGCCGGGGCTGGACACCCTTAGGCAGCGCGGCCAAGCCCCCTGCCTCTCGTTCGACCAATTTCTCTTCCCGGGACCGAAGATTCCCCGGGCGCTCACCCACGCACTCCCCGAACCCTGCCGGGATGTTCGGCGCGAACCAGGTTCCCCGGCCCCAACCCCGGCGCCAACACCTTACTTACCGCGCGCTCCGCGCCGCTACTCCCCGCTCTGCGAGCCTCCAGCCGCGCCTGCGCGCTCCCACCGCCGCCGAACCTAGCAGGAGCCAGGAGCCGGGAGCCAGGAGCCGGGAGCCGCAGCCGAAGGAAAGGGTGGTGGGAAGCGGCGGGGGCGGGGCCAGGGCGGACTAGGAGGGGAGAGGCGTGGCCAGGCAGGGTGGGAAACCGGGGCGGGGGCGGAGCCGCCGCTGCCTGGGTCCGGAAAACCCAGCGCTCGGGGCGCTGGGCTGGAGTTTTCCACTCTTGCGGTCCTTTTATAACACAGGCGGAGAGTTGTCGGGTCCACTCGGTGCATCCCCACACTCGTCCTCGAGAAAGCCCGCTTGGCTCGGGGCCAAGCTGGCCAGTCCCCAGGGGCCACAATGCCTCTCCCTAGAGCCACCTTGGATCCTCCCTAGCTAGCCTTTTACCCTTTTTGCATGCCTATATCCCCTCATATTGCTTTCCCACTCCTACCTTCCCTGCATTATTCCTCCGCGCGCGTGCAGTCTTCAGCCCTCCAGAGGTGCGGAACGTCCCCAAGGACGTCTCATCCTCAGACCGCCGTTGCAATGTATCCTCATTAACTTGTTTCTGCTGTGTGCGAGCCCAGAACGTAGTGGGTGATTAACCAACCAGATACAGTTGTTAAAACTCAGCCGTTTCGGGGCACCTGGGTGGCTCAGTGGCTTAAGAAACAGACTGCAGCTCGGGTTAGGATCTCAAGGTCTGTGAGTTCAAGACCTGCATCAGGCTCTGTGCTGACCGCTCAGAGCCTGGAGCCTGCTTGCGCAGCCTGCTTCAGATTCTCTCTCTCTCTCTCTCTTTGCCCCACCTTAATTCATGCTCTGCTTCTGTTTCTCAAAAAATGAAGTAAAAAAAAAAAAAACCTCAGCCCTTTCCCTGAGAACAAACTCTGTTGCTGCTGTTTTGCACTTTTGGTGACAATAATCTCTTTTCTTAAAAAGAGGCTTGAATAAGCCTACCTAAATATCTTGGGAAGAACACTCGTTGTCAAATAAGACCATCTTTGACCCTCCTTTTTAGGTGGCACCTGAGACTGTGAGCCTTCTAAAAGCTCCTCTGAGAAACAGAATTTTCAGCCTGTGTTGTGTGGACTTTGCCCTAATGGTTTCAGGTTTTCTGGCATTTTGCATTTTAAGCACCCTAACTTGATTATTATTCCATGCTGCATGCGTGCTTAGTTTTAAGTTCTATGCTTTTCTATTTAGAGTCTGGTCAGCTGGGGTATCTCACGTGCCTTCAGATCAGCTATTAAAATAAACACACCTGAGTGAATCCAACGTGAATTGGCCTGTGGGCCTAAAGTGATATATTCCAAATTACTTTTCCTTTCTTCTTTTTACTTTAGTTATGATAGAATTGAAAACATTTGGCTTATTAAGAATAAAAGAATTGTCACAGGGACACACCCCTAGTCCTGCCTAGCAACTGTTTTGACTGTGATGGCAGCATTTTTGGGGAGAGACTGGTAATTGCCCTTAGAGATCTGAATATCCTGAAATTCTCCCCATTAACCTCTGTGGTTCTTACACTTGTGTATTTTACAAACCAGACCTTCTTGAACTCATTTCTATATTGCATTTGTCAAATAAGTATAGGGAGATTGTAGTGAGGACATATTACAAGAGGGTATGTACATTGGTAAATGTAAACAGGGACTGTAGGATGAATAAATCTGTAAATGCCCGGAATTGGACTTTGTCCTATTCATTTCACTAGTAAAATGTTTCACATACAGAAGGTGCCTAAGAAAAACCACTGGGTTAATAAAGGTAATTTTTGCATTCTTAATAATTGTGTATATAGGTTCACGAAATTTCATTTGATTATGGGTTTATTTTTTTATTTTGTGTCTGAGTTTGTCAGGATATTTTGATTGAAGTGATCAAAAGTAAAATGAAGCCAGCTTAGGCAAAAAAGAGAAAGTTACTGTGTAACCCAAGCTGTGAAGGGGTAAGTCTATGATTGGCTTTAGGAATAAATAGAACAAGAAACGGGAATGCTTCAAATTCCAGGTTAGGCTCTCAACCCAGCGTCTCTGGACAGGGTCATTCTTTCAGAACCTCTGAAAGGCATGTTCTACAGGCTTAGAACCACCGTCTCTAACAAACTGTGGGCTCACACCTATCATGTTGCTACCATGCAGAATGGGACTCTCTTCCCTCAGTTCCAATTTTTAGAACACCAGATTAGCAGCATGATTGGGTAAGATGAAGTAACATAACCATTCTTGGAGAAAAAGTATATCTGTGACATAAGAATGACACCCCCCAGGAATGCCTGGGTGGCTCAGTTGAATGAGCATCCCACTCTTGATTTCAGTTCAGGTCTTGATCTCACAGTTTGTGAGCATCAAGTTCTGCAATGATGGCATGGAGCCTGCTTGGGATTCAATCTCTCTCTCCCTCTTTCTGTCTCTGTCTCTCTCTTTCTCTCTGCTCTTCCTCACTTGCTCTCGCTCTAAATCAATCAATCTATCTTTAAAAAAAAAAAAAAAAGAATGGCACCCGCAATAGAACCACAGTTGGAGGACAAAATATAAACAAAGGGTGGGGGAAGATGCTATTTTCAGAACAAGAGAAAAGTGCTGGACAGATTTCTTTTTAAAGTTTACCATGGAGGCGCACCTGGGTGGCTCAGTTGGTTGAGCGGCCAACTTCAGCTCAGGTCATGATCTCGCAGTTTGTGAGTTCAAGCCCCATAATGGGCTCTGTGCTGACAGCTCAGAGCCTGGAGCCTGCTTTGGATTCTGTGTCTCCCTCTCTCTCTGCTACTCCCCCATTTGTGCTCTGTCTCTCTATATATATCTCAAAAATAAATAAACATTAAAAATTTTTTAAATAAAAAATAAAAGTTCACCATGGGACAACTGTGCTTAAGGAATACAGCCTCAGAATTATCTTTTACCTCTCTTTCTTATTCAAGTATTAACTATTCTTAATAATAATTTTCTGTGATTGCTATAAAAAAAACACAAACTCTAGTGGCTTACACAACACACATTTGTTATAGCTCTAGAGGTCAAAAGTCTGAAAAGTGTCACATTGAGCTAAAATCAAGGTGTGAGCAGAGTTGAAGTCCTTTATGGAATTTATGGTTCTAGGGAGAATACTTCTTGACTTTCCTACATTTTAGAAGCAACTTCCTTGGTTCATGGCCCCCTTCCATCTTCAAAGCCAGCAATGACATTACTCTGACACGTTGACAATTCTGCCTACCTCTTCCACATTTAAGATCCTTTATGATTATATTGGGCCTGTCCAGATAATCCCAAATAATCTTATTTTAAGTTCAGTTGATTAGCGACCTTAATTACATCTGTAACTTTAATTCCCCTTTGCCATGTAACATAATATGTTCACATGTTCTGGATATTAGCACACTGGCATGGGGGGGGGCATTATAATCCCTACCACTGTTTTTATTTCCATAAAAACAACAAAGCCTAAGTCACTGGTTTCCTAACCAGGGTGCTTGTAAAAAATACTCATGTCTGGGGCACCTGGGTGACTTAGTCAGTTGAGCGTCCGACTTTCGCTTGGGTCACGATCTCACAGTTCGTGGGTTGGAGCCCCGCGTCGGGCTCTGTGCTGACTGCCAGCTCAGAGCTTGGAGCCTGTTTCAGTCTGTGACTCCCTCTGTCTCTGACCCTCCCCTGCTCACCCTGTCTCTGTCTCTCTCTCTCTCTCTCTCTCTCCTAGAAATAAATAAAATATTTTAAAAAAATACTGATGTCTGGTTACCACCCTCATATATTATGATTTCATTGGACTGGAATCCATGGGTCCTCTAAATAAAGACATACACAGTTGACTGGATCAGGATGGATCAGGAGAGAACATCTCATCTATGTTAGGCCAATCAAAGAACTTTCCTGGGGATTTAGAATGGGGAGAGGGAATTGGTAAAGCTAGGTATCTGGGGCTATAACAACAATTTAGGGACTATGCCAGCAGGAGAAGTTGGAAAAAAAAAAAAAAAGTCTGGAGGGGATAGAAGATAGGGAAGAAACAGAAGTTGTAAAGAAGTAGACAGAGTGGGGGCGCCTGGGTGGCTTAGTCGGTTAAGCGTCCGACTTTCGCTTAGGTCATGATCTCGCGGTTTGTGGGTTCGAGCCCCGCGTCGGGCTCTGTGCTGACTGCCAGCTCGGAGCCTGGAGCCTGTTTCAGTCTGTGACTCCCTCTCTCTCTGACCCTCCCCTGCTCACGCTGTCTCTCTCTCCTAGAAATAAATAAAACATTTAAAAAAAAAAAAAAGTAGACAGAGTGGAGCTGAGCCTAGATCCTCAATGGTGGTCTGCCTCCTGATGATAGTAGCATTCTTATCCGTGCCTTCTATGAGGTACCATTGAATTCTCATAAGAAAGTCTTATTTAACTGAAGCTAGTTCAAATTATTTTCTCTTGCATAAAGCCCCAAAAGGTTCTAATTAATACATGATGTGAGCTTAATTTTCCTCCAATTATTGTTTTATGATATGCCTCTTGTTTAAGAAATAAGGCAAGTTTAGGAACCAAATGGTCAGAGCTGGTGTTCCAGCTCTGTCTACTTCACTAGCACCACATCTCCTGGCTATCCCATATTCTTCAACTGCTCCTTCCTCCTAATATTTACTCAAAGGCCCAGAGTGGCCTCACAAGTTATCTCAGCCTAATCCTCATTCAATACTCCAGTCTCCCTAAAACACATCAGTTGGGTATAGATCTAGTTCTCAGCTTAACTGAGATCAACTAAATCTTAATGACATGCAAATCAAATCTCTAGCCCTCAGTCTTCCCTCATCTTCAGATCTATAGTTACAGCTGATGAGTGGATGATTCCTCCTCAATTTATAAGACACAAAACTCAATTTTTCTTCTGCCTTTCCTTGTGCATTTTCCTTCCTTCCTAATGAAACCACCATGCACCCCATCACATACATTAGAAATAGTAAAGTCATCCATGATCCCTTATTTTTCTAATATTTATTGATTCTGAGAGAGAGAGAGGGAGAGAATCCGAAGCAGGTCCAGTGCTGTCAGCACAGAGCTCAATGTAGGGCTCTATCTCACAAAC